GGTGCGCGTATGGTAACCAGAGTCACGTGTGATAACTGCGGTTGCAGGCATCCTATTGTGCACTTGGGAATGGCTAGGGGAAAGGAGTTCACGTATCACTAGTGCCAGCCCCACCAACAAGGCCGACTCCCCCTGTCAGGTCCCAGAAGAAGATGACTTAACTATATTTGAATAAATGTAGATTGCTGTATTATACTTAATAAAAATAAGACATCCCCTGAAAATAAGCCCTAGTCAAAAATAAATATAAGACAGTTTCTTATTTTCGGGGAAACATGGTAACAACAGCTTCAGAATGATGACCCAGAGCAGGCAGGGCTGGGACAAGGAAGTCTACAGTGGGGTGGGCAGGAAGTGTCTGCCCTAGTCTGGGAGGGAATGAGGGAGGGTTTCTTGGAGGAAGACACATCTGAGCTAGGACCTGGAAGATGCAGAAGTACTTTCCAGGGCAGTGAAGGAGAGCAGTCTCTAGGCAAAGGCAATAGCATATGCAGCCAAGAGGTGACATGGCACTTAGCATTTGGAGAAATGCAAGAAGGTAGGGGAAGGCAAAGTGGCTAAATCATTGCTGGATTTAAGGGGAGCACTATAAGGATGGGGCTGAAGCAGCAGATGGGGCTCACTGAAACTTGAGGGTCATAGGCTTTCTCCTAAGGACATTAGGGAGCTGTGGAAGGATTTTGAGACATGCAGAGACAGGGTCAGATTCTCATTCTCAAAAGATCAGATCATGCTGACTCCTGTCCTTGGATACCTGTAGGCTAGGTGGAAAGAAGGTAGGGAATCTGGGGTGGGGGCTTGCTTCTCTAGGGGTCCCTGACCCCAGCTGACATCTTACCATTTCCCCCATCTTGCCCACAGGGATCTGGTCTGAGGGTTCGGATGGTACTGATATCAACGCTGTGGCCCGATCCCACGATGGGAAGTTGCTGGCTTCAGCTGATGATTTTGGCAAAGTCCACCTGTTTAGCTACCCCTGCAGTCAGCCTCGAGTGAGTCCCTAAGTGGGAGAGCAGGAGGTAGCAAGCAATGCTGGGGATAAGCAGCTCTGGTCAAATCCCACCACTTATCTCAGCTTCAGGTTCCCCATCTATACAATGTGGACAGTGGGCTTGATCCCAGGGGCCCTTTAAACCTGAAAGTTAATGAATGTCAGACTCTGTAGTGCTGGAGATGTGGCTTTCAAAAGGTCTGAGCATCTGAAATTCTGAGATCTTTGGTTCTTTCATTTTTGTTAACTCACCAAATATTTATCTTTTTTTTTTTTAGAGACAGAGTCTCATTTTGTCATCCTCAGGAGAGTGCCATGGTGTCATATCTCACAGCAACCTCCAACTCCTGGGCTTAGGCAACTCTCCTACCTCAGCCTCGAGAGTTGCCTAAGCAGGCGACCCCCACAATGCCTGGCTATTTTTTTGTTGCACTTTGGCCGGGGCCAGGCTCCAACCCACCACCTTTGGTATATGGGGCAGGCGCCCTACCTACTGAGCCACAGGCATTGCCCACCAAATGTTTACCAAGCCCCTACTATGTGCCTGAGCACAGGACATACAGACAGTTCTTGCAAATTTTTAAGTGAGGCCAGAAATTAGAAATCTTTTTGTGCACTAATCAAGATAATCCCCTAACCATCCACATTTTTGGCTGAGCACCATGGCTAATACCTTTAATTCCAGCACTTTGGGAGCCCAAGGAGGGAGGATTGCTTCAATCACTTGAAGCCAGGAGTTTGAGACCAGCCCTGGAAACATAGTGAGACCCCATCTGTATAAAAAATAATAAAAATTAGCTGAGTATACTGGCAAATGTCTATGGTCCCAGCTACTTGGGAGTCTGAGGTGGAAGAATTCCTTGAGCCCAGAAGTTCAAGGCTGCAGTGAGCTATGATTGAGCCACTGCACTCCAGCCTGGGTGACAAAAAAAAATCCCTAGATTTTAACATGAACTCATCCAATTTTAAAATAATGCCAGTAGTTGTCTTTCTAAAAACGCTATGGATTGTATTTAATCTGTCTAAAGGCCAACAGCAGCTAACCTGTGTCTGAGATAAAACTGGACATTAATTTTACCATTCTCTGGTCCTAACAAAAGAGGAGTTTGTGATCTTAATGTCTTACTGGGAAATTTGTGTACATAAAAGCAGAGAGAGGCTCGGTGCCTGTGGCTCAAGCGCCTAAGGTGCCAGACACATACACTTGAGCTGGCGGGTTCGAATCCAGCCTGGGCCTGCCAAACAACGATGATAACAACACCAACCAAAAAATAGCCAGGCATTGTGGCAGGCACCCGGGAGGCGGAGGCAGGAGAATCGCTTGAGCCCAGGAGTTGGAGGTTGCTGTGAGCTGTGATTCCAGGGTACTCTATCCAGGGCGATAGCTTGAGGCTCTGTCTCAAAAAAAAAAAGCAGAGAGAATAGTATAATGATACTTTTTGTACCTATTACCCATGTTCAGCTATTATCAGATTTGTCATATTTGTTTTTTCTTTGTCTTTTTCTCTTCTTTATTTTTTGCCTGTTGTTAAAAAACCTTATGTATGACCTTTTAGCGCTCCCAAATTAAGCACTCATATCTAAAGAATAAAGGTAATTCCTACATATCCACAAACTCCTGATCACACCTACACATTGACATTAATTCCCTGATGTGATCTAATACCCAGTCCATATTCAGATTTTTCTGGTTGTTCTCAAAATGTCCTCCTACAGTTGGTTTGTTTAGAACAGGGTCCAAATATTCCATTTGCTTATATCTCAAATATCTTCATGTGAAACAGCTTTGCTCACATGGACACTCATATTTTAATACTATTAACTTGTTTTCTGTTTGTTTGTTAGATTTTCTGTTTTTGTGGGGGGAGAATTGTTTTTTGGGGTTTTTTTGACACAGAGTCTCACTCTGTTGCCCAGGCTAGAATGCAGTCAGCCTAGCTCACAGCAACCTCAGACTTCCAGGCTTAAGCCATCCTCCTGCTTCAGGCTCCTGAATAGCTGGGACTACAGGTGCATGTCACCGTGCTTGGATAATTTTTCTTTTTTTTTTTCTATTTCTTCTTTTTTTTCTTTTTTTAAAGAGGAGGTCTTGCTATGTTGCTCAGGCTGATCTCAAACTCTTGACCTGAAATGATCCTTCCACTTTGGCCTACCAAAGTGCTAAAATTATAGGTGTGAGCCACCACATCTAGCCACCATTAATTCTTTGAAGACACCAGTTAAGATAGCCTGTAGGTTCTTAAAGGAGTGAATTATTAAGCAGAAAAGGAGACTGGGACAAGAAGACCATGGGGTGGTGTTGCTATCTCTGACATTTCTTCACTTCTTTCCTTACAATAGGCCCTCAGCCACAAATACGGCGGACACAGCAGCCATGTGACGAATGTTGCCTTCTTGTGGGATGACAGCATGGCCCTGACCACAGGGGGCAAGGACACCAGTGTACTGCAGTGGCGGGTGGTCTGAAGTGGCTGGGGTATAATCAGGTGGCAGGGCTGGAATTCTGTTTTCGGGAGATGTTTATTGCCGCGTAGCTTAATATATACCCAGAGTATGTCTATACCAGAGGGGGTTATGGGGGTGGGCGGGTAGACTGACAGAGAGAAGTCTCTATTTATCGGGGTGGGAATAGGGGTCACATTGCTTTGGGGAGCCATCAGTGTTAGGTTGAAGGTGTTTTTTCTTAAGTTTTTCTTTTTATATCATCCAGAAATAAAGACACGTGCACTGAGGTGTGATATCAGGGTTTGTGTATTTGGTGTGTGTATAGGGTGTAATGTATCTGTAAATGTGTGTGTGTGCACATATCATAGTGTTGGTATTGAATGCAAGTGATAGCAATCATCTTGCTCTAACCTGGGTCAAAAAAAACAAAAAAAACTTGAATGTCCCTCATAGCCAAATAAGAAAGGACAGGTGTGCCTCTAGGTTTCAAGACCATTGAGTCAGCATTTCTTTCTGGGACCACCATTCTGTACAGTTTAAACATAGCACCCAGCAGCTTTGTAGTTCATTATCAATCAGCCTTGAGCCCCAAATCCAAAAATCCCAGGGAAAGGCTGTATGTAGTTTGTGCATTTATAGATCAGTCATTTTGGCCTTGCCTACAGGTTGGTCTATTGTGAATCTTCAACTTGTGTAAAGAACTATCCTTCCCTGGGCGGCACCTGTGGCTCAGTGAGTAGGGTGCCAGCCTCATATACCAAGGGTGGCAGGTTTGAACCCGGCCCCAGCCAAACTGCAACAACAACAACAAAAGAACCAGCCCTCCCTGGACCAAAGATCATGGCCAGGGAGGAGGCGGGATTATATAAAACTGTGGAAGCTTCTATCTAATCCATAGAGGAGGAACAGAAGGAGGAATTTTTTCAGAGAAGTGGGCTGATGACACAACAAATAAATGGCAGATATGCTACTATGGTTCCAGGTTACAAGAAACAGAAAGCTAATACCATATAGCATAAATGAAAAACTGCCAAATCATGGAACTTGGCAGCCCAAGAGGGACGAGGGAGAATTGGAAGGTTGAGTTTTGGTCACAGGGATTCTTCTTTTAGGGATTTTTGAGTATCTATGTAACCTTGAATACGTTTTTATTTTTGTTTTTTGAAATAGAATCTCACTCTGTTGCCATGGGTAGAGTGCTGTGGTGTCTTATCTCACAGCAACCTCAAATTCTTGGGTTTGACCAATCCTCTTGCATCAGCCTCCTGAGTAGCTGAGACTACAGGTACTTGCCACAACACCTGGCTAAATTTTCTATTTTTAGTAGAGACAAGGTCTTGCTTTTGCTCAGACTGGTCTTGAATGCCTGAACTCAGGCAATCCACACACTTTGGCCTCTCAGAGTTTAGGATCACAGGCGTGAGCCACCTCGCCTGGCCTGAGTACAATTTTTACCTCAACTTTCTTTTTCTTTTATTGAGCCTCAAGCTGTTGCCCTTGGGTAGAGTGCCGTGGTGTCACAGTTCACAGCAACCTCCAACTCCTGGTGGTGTCACAGCTCACAGCAACCTCCAAGTCCTGGGCTTAAGCAACTCTCTTGCCTCAGCCTCCCAAGTAGCTGGGACTATAGGCGCCCACCACAATGCCCAGCAATTTTTTGGTTGTAGTTGTCATTGTTTGGCAGGCCCAGGCTGGATTCGAACCCGCCAGCTCTAGTGTATATGGTTGGCGCCTTAGCCACTTGAGCTACAGGTACCAAGCCAATTTTTACCTCTTGTGACAGAGTTTCACTTTATCACCCTCGGTAGAGTGCTGTGGCATCACAGCTCACAGCAACCTCCAACTCCTGGGCTTAGGCGATTCTCTTGCCTCAGCCTACCGAGTAGCTGGGACTACAGGCACCCGCCATAACGCCCAGCTATTTTTTTGTTGCAGTTTGGCCGGGGCTAGGTTCAAATCTGCCACCCTCAGTATATGGAGCTGGTGCCCTATTCACTGAGCCATAGGTGCCACCCTACCTGAACTTTTCATCAATGTTTAATATACAGGCAGAGAAGTAAACTCCTTAGAAATGTATAGTCCGCTGAATTTTCACAAACTGAACACACCCATGGGGCCAGCTCCCTTGGTGGAGAAATAATCCTCATGCCTCTCAACAAAGGCCTCTTTGATCCCCTCCTAGCCATTGGCCCCCCAAAAATAATCACTATTCTGACTTTTCACACCAAAGACTCTTCTACCCATTTTTGTTCGACCCATTTCTGCTTTTTTTTTTAGACAGTCTTATGTCCCCCTCAGTAGAGTGCTGTGACATCACAGCTCACAGCAACCCCAAACTCTTGAGCTTAAGTGATTCTCTTGCTTCAGCCTCCCAAGTAGCTGGGACTATAGGCACCGCCACAATGCCCAGCTATTTTTTGGTTGTAGTTATTGTTTAGCAGGCCCGGGCTGGGTTCAAATGCACCAGCCCCAGTGTATGTGGCCTGTGCCCTAACCACGGAGCTACAGGTGCTGAGCCCATTTTTGCATTTTAAATCAGAAGTCAACAAACTGTTCCTGTGCAGGGCAAGATAGTAAATATTTTCACTTTGTTAAAAAATATATATATATTTCCACTTTGTGTTCAACAATGACATTGTAGTGTGAAAGCAACCATGGATGAAGCAAACATGAATGAACTTGGGGATATTCAAATAAAACTATGAAACAAACAAAAAAACTGTTTATGGATTCTGAAATTTGAATTTCTCACAATTTTTACATGTCATCAGTACTATTGGTTTGGTTTCTTTCAAACCATTAAAAAATGTAAAAGTCGGCGTGGGGCCACAGTGGCTGGCCACATACACTGAGACTGGCAGGTGCGAACCTGGCCTGGAGTGGCTAAACAGCAATAACAACCGTAACAAAAAATAGCCAGGCATTGTGGCAGGCACCTGTAGTCCCAGCTAAAGGAGGCTAAAGCAAGAGAATCCCTTAAGCCCAAGAGCAGTGAGCTGTGATGCCACAGCACTCTTCCAAGGGTGACAGTGATGCTGTATCTCAAAAAACAAAAAAGTACAAGCCATTCTTAGCTTTCCAGCCACACTGAAAACCGGCAGCAGAAGGAATTTTGGGCCTGCAGTGATAGTTTGCCCACCTTTGCTTTAAGTAAATGGAATCATACTATCTGAACCCTCTGGGTCTGCCTTCTCTCCAGGACCTCAGTTTTCCCCATGTATAAGACAGAAGTTAAAAACGGCACCTGCCCCATAGGAGTGCTGTGAAAAATCACTTAAATTCATGCAAAAGCATTTAGGTCAAGCCTGGCACATGAAAAACACTTGAAAAATGTTAGCTATGATAATGTTTATAAGGTGGGGAACTCAGACAGCATGGCTGCATGCATTCCTCCAGTCCACATTGTGAATGAAGTCTAAACAAGAAGAAAGCTTTCCTTCAGAGCGCATAAGGTCTCTAGGAGTGATCTGATTGGCTCAGCTTGGCTTAAGTGGTCACCCTTGAGCCAATTGCTGTGGTTTAGGGAATGGGGTTATGTGCCCACTTTTGGATTAGGTGGGGATTAATTTTTTCTTTTTTTTTTTTGAGACAGAGCCTCAAGCTGTGGCCCTGGGGTAGAGTGCTGTGGCATCACAACTCACAGCAACCTCCAACTCCTGGGCTCAAGCAATTTTCCTGCCTCCACTTCCCAAGTAGCTGGGACTACAGGCACCTCCCACAATGCCTGGCTATTTTTTTTTGGTTGCAGCTGTCATTGTTGTTTGGCTGGCCTGGGCTGGGTTTGAACCGGCCAGCTCAGGTGCATGGGGCTGGTGCCTTAGCCACTTGAGCCACAGGCCCCCAGCCAGCTGGGGATTAGTATGACTTATCTGGGGCTGACAGCCCTGTCTGAACCTCTTAAGAATGGACAGAAGAGTAGGAAAAACATGGACCTCATGTATACCAGGATCTCAGCATATTTGTGTTCCTATGTGTGACACCCTAGAAGGCAGACTCAACAATGCCTCTGGAAGTTTGAAGACCCCACCCTCTCCATTCCCATTATCTATTGCTGTGAGACAAACGATCCCCAAACTTGATGTATTTATTCATTTATTATGTATTTATTTATTTATTTTGAGACAGTCTCATTGTGTTGCCCTCAGTAGAGTGCTGTAGCATCCCAACTCACAGCAGTCTCAAACTTTTGGGCTTAAGTGATTCTCTTGCCTCAGCCT